CACGCCCCAATCCCTTCTCCTCCATTCTCCTCTCGGGATCTTGGGCACGCACGCACACGCGCCCAACCGCGGTTGACTACGTGGGCGTCCAGCGACATAGCTATTACGCTAACTGCTGGTTCCCAAAAAGTTGGTTGATTTTCTGTTATGTACATTTTACCATAGTTAAACAATAATAAACTATCTGACACATAGTCTCTATATCGTTTTTGGCCTTCTTAAAGCTAACTATACAGACGTAGAAAATCAAATGAAAACTTAATTTTCCAGTGTTAATATTCACTTGATGTCAATGAGGGATTTTATTTTTTGAGTTCCCCTCCCCAATAAAAAGTACATACTTAGAAACTTTAGATATTTTTTTTAAAAGGCAAGGATCGGGCCAGCAGGTGGTTAAAGTAATAATAATACTAAATGGAATTAAATAAATAATTCTTTCTCTTTTTTGGGAGACGTTTTTGCTATAGGGCGCGTGAGCTCGCCAGAAAGGCAGAGAGAGACAGAGAGACAGCGAGAATCCCTCAATTCAATTTTTTGAAATAAGTCTAGGCCTGTTCAGATTGTCTATTTTTCCATGTGTGAGTTTTGGTAGATTATGTCTTTCAAGAACTTGACCCATTTCATCTATATTATCAAATTTGTGGGCATAGAGGTTTTTCATGATGTTTCTTCCTTTTTTTTAATTTTTCTTTTAATCTCTGTGGGACCAGTAGTGATGGCTCTCCTTCCATTTTCTTTTTCTTTTTTTAATGTCCCATGAGTGATACTGTGATATTATGATTTTTCGTTTTGTTTTCATTATAACTCCCATAGCCCTTGTTATTTCCTAAATGGACTAGAACAATAGCCTATTTTTTGGTTAAAGTATTTGGTCTATTGTCCTTAGTTCCTGAAACAGCTTCAGAATAGCTTCACAGTGATAAAGGTGAAAGGCAGTCTTTTGTTATAATGTTGGGACACTTTAAACTTCAGAGGCAGGTCTCAGAAAATACAATTTTTCTCTGACCTTCTCCTGCCCTTGCTTTTACCTGCTTCTTTTTCTCCCCAAGATGGGTCACAGGAACTAAAAATATCATTTTCCCCTGTCTTTCTGTCTTAGAGTTGGCCATAAAGAAATTCACTGACCTGCCTTGCGTGATATTAGATCATTCGAACATATAACCGGAAGAGGGATTTCTGGGTCATATGGTAACCCTATTTTTAATTTCTTTAGGAAGCTCAGTGCTGTTTTCCATAATGACTGCATCATTCTACAGTCATACCAACTGTGTTCAAGGGTTCTATTTTCTCTACACCTTTGCCAACACTTGGGTTTTGTTTTTCATTGCTAGAGGACAAGTGCATTCGTGTGTGCGTGTGTGTGTGTGTGTGTGAGAGAGAGAGAGAGAGAG